ACACACACACACACACACACACACACACACACACACACACACACACACACACACGGGGTAACGTTCACAATAACCGACAATACTAGATTACAAGAGACAGGAACTTATAGGGCAGATAACGAGGGGCAGACAGGTGAACACAATGAGGGCAATTAACTAATGATTATACGGGCTAAACCAACACAAGGGGAAGAAACCACAACAACCAGTCCACAGGGGTGTTACAATACCTACTATACCTACATTTTTATGAATGCTATGAATTGAGACATACTACTCTTTTTGCCTACTGTTTAGTAGGAAAGTAGACATATTCAGATGCAGACTGTCACTGTGAAATACATTTAAGCATATCTATACTGGTCGACCGGGTAGAACGGCACCAAACCAGCATATTTCAAAAGTACTATATATACTGTACATTATATGTGCTATATGTATATGCTGACAGCCTCTACTGCACTCCATCACAACATTCATGAAAAATGAAGGACTGAATTGTAAAGTCGTGGATAAAATTTAACCTGCTTCAGAACCTACAGGTTTTCCACCAACTCCATGTCACAAATTCCTGAGGTCATTTTGGATATTGTTTATATTTCTGAATGAACCGTCAATCAAACCACATGGAATGTCTGTACACTATATTCTAAACATAACTTATGTTAAAAGTCTATTCAGCGCTCAATTGTTACCAACTCTGCTTGGTTATTTTTCATCACTAGTGCACACGAGCCCTTTCAGACCCAAAGCTAACACCACCAGTGCCCTACAGTAACCTTCACCTCAGGAATACAGACAGACTTTTAACAGGTTTTGCATGAATTAATTTTTGGAGGAGCAGTGAAGTTCACTGTTTTCCCTCAGCCTCTCCGACCACCCTGTTCCAGTACCAGGCCGCCCATGGGCATAGCAGCCATTATAAATCCTCAAATGTTTTGAAATTTCTAGGTTCCCTGTGTCTGAAATCGTATCACTCCCATAACATTATCTTTTCATCTGTATAACATCACTTTTGGGGGTGTGTTAACTTTTTGCGAGCATGCACGCACATATACACCCAGGTTTATATGGTGCGGTCTTCTCTGGTGCAGTGCTTATTTTAATAATACCCCTAAGCCTTAAAACCTTTGGGCAAAGTATAGAATAACTAAACGCATACATCTGGTGCACTCAAAGTGTCTGGGTGACCAGACGCACATGCACACACTCATTACACATCATTTCAGAGACAAAATTTTTCCTTACTCGCAAGCACTCAGATTAACACAAACTTTCACACAAACACCTAAGGCGCACACACATAGTAGCTAGTATGGAAACATGGCTGTCACGGCGTCCTTAGGCTCCGCTTTAATAGCTCTGTCAGACAAAGAGAGGAGACATGTGGCAGTACTATGAAAAGCACCATTCAGGGCCGGTTAGACTGCCACACAGTCAGGCCAACTCAGCTTAAGTGATTCTGAAAGCAACTTCACAATACTTTGCAAATCCTTGCCGCACACCCAGTCCCATTTACCCCGTGTGCCGCCTTTGGGTAGACACACGGGCTGGACTAGGAGACCGTCCCCTAAAAACATGCAACTTCATGTTAGCTTCACCTTCTGCTCATCTCTTTCTCTCTGTGCCATTTGTTGAGTCATTAATTTCTCTCCTTTATTATATTGGCTTGAGGAAGTTCTTGTTTAAATCTGAGTTTACAAAATCTCTGACCTGATACCAACATGACTCTAACTTCTAGAGCTTTCAAGTTACATCCACTTGTCTAAATGTTTTATGTCTTTTGTAAATGATTGGATTTACTGTTTTTAAAACTTTTTGACTGTAATGTTGTGAGCTTTATGACTTTTCAATCTGTGTGCAGACTGTCTACCAAACTTGGCACAGTCTTTTAACCTGTTCTGACTTATTGTAATGCACATGTGCTGCACACATCTCTTCTGTAAGTGCTTGCCTCCTAATACAATTACTATTTAGAAAAACTACTGTTTTTGCTGGTTCTTTCATTTGTTTACAGAGTCTCATATTTTCTGAGCAATTCTGGAGCTTTATATTGTGACACTTTTTCTACGTTATTAAGTATAGTGCACTACCATTTTAAAAGTTTGGGGTCAGTACTTTTTTTTTTGGAAAGAAATTAACATGTTAATTCAACAAGAATGTTTATAAAGTTGATCATAAGTGATAGTAAAGACATGTATAATGTTACAAATTATACTTATTTTCAGCTTATAAAATTCAGCTTTGCCATCACAGAAATAAATTACATTTAAACATTTATTTAAATAGGAAAGAGTTATTTTAAATTGTAATAATATTACAGAATAATACTGTTTTACTCTATTTTTGATCAAATAATTACAGTCTTGGTGACCATAAAAGACCATCTCAAAAGCATTAAAAAAATCTTACGGACCCCAAACTTTTGAATGGTAAGGCACACTGTTTTATTTCTTTTTATTTATTATTTTAGATTATGAAAAACTTACGAAAGACTTCATTCAAAGTTTGTTTTGATTGATTGATTGATTTATTGGCCTTTTCCAAAACAAACTATATTTAAACTCATGTCGTCCACATATAATTCACTATTCAATGTGTCAGAGATGTGCACTACCCGCAATAAGCCATGGCTCCGATATCAATTTTAGAGAGAATTTATTTTCATATATGTTCATTTTTCTCCTGTTGAGTTTACTGTGCAGCACACATGTACACAATTTGTTGGTCTGTGAACATAAACAGGATATTGCCCTCACATACAGACACACTCTGACACGAGTACACACACATTCCTTGGCACGGCAGTGGCATGAAGGCCACTTAAACAACACTGTCGGCCCCCTGCCTGGCCACCAAAACGCACGCCACACCACCACACTCCTTAACAACTAAGACGAGGAAAAAATCCAGCAGAGCCCGGCATTGCTCCATCACTGCTGTTTTTCCTCTCTCATCGTAAAAGTTAAAAGAACGATGGAAGCGAAACTGGAAGTCTCTCCGCGGGGTGAGTCGAAACTGGCCTTCTGGAATAGAGAGCAGTGTGCGTGGGTCCAGCCAGCGGAGGGATCTTGTCTCTCTCAAACGTACTGTGTTTTATGTCATGGTGGCTCAGTCTGTCTTTCATCCATCTGTCAAACACACACACGCACGTATTTGGACAATACTTGCTTCATAATCAGACTACACTTTTGTTTCTTGTTTTGAAGCAGTGTCACTTGCAGAGGGAGTTTCACATTAACAACACTCTTGTCTTTTGCTTGGATGGGAATATGGTGCTGGCTGAGGTGGGAACTGCCTGATTTGTATCTTTTTGAAAAATTCCCACACTTTCCACATGGAATGAGTGAGCGTTGGCGAGGCTTACTGTATCAGTGGCGATTAGCACATCAAATTGCAGCAGAACATCAGCACTCCTGAACCATACCCATGAAAGTACCAGGAAAATGACAATTTGAAAGCTTTCTTTCTAGTTTCAGTTGATATGCTTACACTTACGGGCATTACAGCAGAGGGATGATTTATCAGTCACTTATGGAAAAGATAAAGTTATGGAAAGGTTGTTTCCACTGGTCGTTTGGTCTGTGGATGGTGTCACTGTCACTCGTGCATGTGTCTGTCTGCTTAAAATGTTTTGACACTTGAGCGTATTTTCTCTTGACTTTTATTCCTCATACTTCGCTTTTTTTAACCTTGTCTTGTTTGTGTTGAATTTGTCGGACATGCTTTAGTTGGGGCGATGGGTAAGTTGAGGCTTTTATTGCTTTCAGTCTAGATATTTTTGTTCATGAAATGATTGATTTAATTAAGCAGGGGTCTAATGAATGAGGGATGTGGTGTCAGATATGTACTGACCTTCCTTGCTTTTAATGTTTCTTTCCATTCTCTTGCTTTCTTGCTCTGTGTCTACAGCAGGATGAATTTATGGACTGGTGGAGCAAGTTTTATGCCTCCACGGGTGAGAGAAACAAGTGTGGCAGTTATCTAGAGAAGGGCTTCGATACGCTGCAGGTAAGGCATTGAACTAATGTTGTCCCTCATGTTGTTCCAAATGTGCATGACTGACTTTCTTTCATACAAATGGTACATAAGCACAAAAGATATTTTGAAGAACTGTTTTTGTCCATACGAAATCAGTGGGGTCCAAAACAACATTAGACCCCAAAAACCACTAAAGGGTTTTTCACACTGCGCTTAACCCTGGGTTATCTCCATTCTAAACCCCACTTTTAACCCAGGTTAAGGAATGTTTCACTCTTGTAATTCATAAACAGGGTTAACAATGCTTTGTACTACTAGTGCTGTCAAAATTATCACATTAACGCATGTGATTATTTTTTTCAGTTTAACGTGTTAAGAAAAAAATATTTAATGCAATTAACCCAGGGGCGGTCTCTTTTTTTCTTGACAAGAATTGTGTTTATTTAGACGCAGAGCGTCTTTACGACCTCATCAAATGGGAGATTTTTCAGATGTGCACTCCAACTTCACCTCAGTGCCAGGCGCTAATCAAACAAGTGTGGAAATGTACAGGTGACGAGGGAGCTTCAGAAGATAAAACAGTGAACTGCGGTCAGATGAGATGTTGTCAGGCCATGTCAGTAAAAACAAATTTTCCTGTCTTGGCAGCCGTTATACTGTGCTTGTAGCACATGCTCTTTAATTGCATGCACAAATGCAGTGGCACACACTGTATATAATTTCATATTAAAGCGCAAATGAAACTATGAGCATGCAGTGCTATTGTTATGTCGTCAGCTAAGTCATGAAGTTACCAAAAAGGCGATTAAAGCTGCCTTAAAACTGTGCATGTATGTAAGTATTTAAATATGCGTCACATTTAAGAACACGTCTTTGAAATGCAGTGGTTTTCAGAACTGTCCTGGAGCAACCAGCACTGTCTCGCTCATCTAGCACACCCGATTCAACTCGTCAGCTCATTAGTAGAGACTTTAAGACCTGAAGTGAGTCAGAAAAGGTAAAGAGTTGTGAGAAAATACGATGCGTGTCAGATCTGCATGATGTTCAGCAGCGGCAGCTCATAAAGCAGCCAAAATAACTGAATAACCCAGCTGCTGTGATGTCTGTTAATCAAATAACAAAAGGAAAAAGAGGAAACCAATAACTATTGCAGATTTAAGGATTCATCTATATTTAATTTAGAATTTAGTTTTTGATAACTATTTAGTTTCTGTATATTTCCTACTAGCTGAAGGGCAGCTAAATATGACATTTATTATAATGGGTTTATGTGAAGATTGTTTTAAGTTCACTTATTACATGGCTCTGTGGAATACTTGATTCTGATTGGTCAGTTGCGACATTCCGAGGTATGCTATCCCTCGATAACAACTGGTAAAAACTAATAACACAGGCTCATCCGATTTATTATAATGGGTTTATGTGAAGATTGTTTTAAGTTCACTTATTACATGGCTCTGTGGAATACTTGATTCTGATTGGTCAGTTGCGACATTCCGAGGTATGCTATCCCTCGATAACAACTGGTAAAAACTAATAACACAGGCTCATCCGGGTAACCGAAGTCTACACTATACTCTTGCCAGGAAGAGTTTTTATTTTTTTTTCGTGGAAGCTTTGCGTTTGGTTAGCTAATAAAATATTTTAACTTCAATTCAGTATTACGTGTACAATTATTTAATTATGTCATCCTGGTATCGCGGACTCGCTCTCTCATTTCATACAAATGCAGCTGCTGCCATTTTGCGACGATTGTTTTGTACACTGTAATGGATTATAAGATATAACTAACAAACTGGTAAGATTTTAAAACATTTTCGTCTTAAATCAATATATTTTATCGCCTTAATTATTTATGTGGTGAAATGTTGTGTAATAAGTGGTTTGACTGCACCGTATACCTTAAATGCCCGTCTAGTTTGAACTTGCCACTTGTTCGCAACTGCTGTGTTCACGGAAGCTTTGCGTTCAAATATTTCAACTCAAATCAATATTTCGTGTCTAATTATTTACTTATGTGGCAAGTAGCCGTGTAATAAGCGGGATAATGTACATCCTCCGCTTCGCTCCAGGGTCCTGATCACCCTGTCGGGGGTTATTCTGCGATAACAACCGGCTGGATGTACATTATCCCTTACTTAAATTAGAAGTTATTTTTTGAAGTGTAATAAATGTTCAAATTGATAGCGCTCAATTACTGTAATGTTGAATGGCTATAGTCAATGGTTAAATATAAAAAAAAAAAAAAAAAAATTGTATCCTCGGTATCAGTGATAAAAAAGTCAGTCATAAAAAAAATACTACCTTTATGTTGTTTCTACATTAATTTAAAGATTGAATGTGAAATTATTGCAATGTAAAAGTATTTTTAAAAACTTTAATGTTAGGTGGGATTAATCCGGGAGTGCGCATGCCTACTTTCAAACGCTCACTCACCCCGACTTCAGTCCACTCCAGCCCACTTCCCACAAGCTTATCCATTTATAATAGAGCCCGTGGCTGCCAGATTCCCAACTTTTCCGATGAATTCATGTCGGGGTTGTCGCAGGGGGATAACCAAGTGCAGACAAGGGCTCCGTTACTGACGTCATCGGGCCGTTTTCCCCCAGCCCACACCTCCCTATCATCCCTCGATCTCTGGCCGGTTTGTCAGCGATCTCCCCTGTCACCTCATTCTCTCTCTACATGCCTTAGCCACTCTTTCCAACCTTTCCGATCTAAACGTGCCCGTTAGTCATCTGGCAGGGGCTCAGGTCTCAGGGCTACCTGCGAGGCCCGGGGTTCGATTGTTGGCTGTCACTGTGTGAGAGTGTCCCACGCACCGGGAGGAGCAGCAGACAGAAACACTTTCCCTAAAACTGCTGAGATGAGCTGTTATTTTGGGCTAATGGTGCCTGAGGGAGAGATTGAAGGCAGGGAAAGAGCAAAAGAGACTGGGAGAGGGTTTCATGTGCTGTGTCACATGTTCAGGGACCAGGCATGAGTGAGTCAACTAGAAAAACAGAGTGACTCGCTTGTGAGGATTCCTTCATACTTTTGTCACTAAGTTGTCTCCTGGGTGGCCGTTTGGTTGGAGAGTTGTGCGCCGCTAGTTAAAAGTTGTGTAATGTCATGGCGAAGCATATTTTCCTCAGGCACAAATCGTTTTTGCGCATTTTTATTGCCGTTTTTAAACATTCTCATAATCAGGAATTTCCAGATCTTTTTGTATTAATGATGCATTTGAGGTTGTTTGACTTGCGCCTGAAATGTTAAAACCACAATTAAAGATCTCAGAGTCCAAGATTCTTAAAGAAAACTGCTTTGGCAAGACAAACAATGGATGTCTTGTGCATAGTATGTGTCCTTTCAGCCCTTTCAGTTGATTAGAGCACATTTTTAAAGAACTAGATCTGCATCCAAATCATATATCACACACTCTCCTGTGCTTCCTTTCTCAGGTGTATGACAGGGAACTGGAGAAGGTTGAAGGCTTCGAGCAGTTGGCTGATTTCTGTCAAACGTTTAAACTTCACCGTGGAAGAGTCCAGAATGAGAGTGAAGACCCTTCTGTTGTTGGAGAGTTCAAGGTAGGGTCACTCATAACCTCTCAGCTACTATCAACTGCTATCTCATGTGCTCTCATTCAGTCTCCAAGAGGAAAAACATTCAGACGGCGCCAGATGAAGCAATGGATGGGTGTCATTGCTTATTATCTAAGCTAATGAAAAGTCATTTGAATTGGGCCTTCTATTTAAACTGATCACATACTTGCCTGGCAGGGTCAGTCTGTACTTTGTCAAATTTACCATTGAACAATTTGTTAATTTAAAGTGTTCTGCAACAGATCCAGAGTCTTATGCCATTCTTTTGGTGAACTGTCTAGATCTCCAAAAATGTGCCTCCTTGCCTTCTTTACAGACACTGTCTCTTAAAAATAGAGGTTCTTTAATGGTTCTGGGACCTTTAGGTCACCGTAAGCCTCTTACCAAGAACCATGTTATGTTGTATAGGGTAGTTGAGGTTGCTATATGGTTTTATTGGAGATTAAAATGTTTTTGAAGATACACTGTGGGTTATTCAAGTCATTGTACTAGTTTCTGGGTACGTTGTGCAAAGAGGCTGAATATTTCCGGAAACTTTCCAGGATTTTTGGAACCTTTTGAAAAGTTCCCGCAAATTTACTGGAAATTTTCTGCCCCTTTGCAACCTATTTCTGTGTTCTTTAAAGCATCAGTACATTGATGTTTTCGAAATGTAAATGTAAAATAAAAAAGAAAGAAATAAAAAAGAACATTAAAATTGTCATCATTTTGTCAACATTTAGTCATTATTATCTTTCTTCTGTGGGACATATGGTGATGTTTTGAAGCATTTCAGACCAATGTTGTTTTAGTATTGTTTATATGCTATTGTACTATTTAGGGATATTTTGAATAGCTTTTATTTATTTATTTATGGTTTTAGTAATTTTGTTACGTGATTCTGTCAGCTTTATTATTATTATTATTATTTTAATATTTATCTGTTTAGATAATGAAAGAATAACAGTAATATGGGGTTGGAACTTTTAAAAATACCCTCCTATGGCATCCGGCATATGGCTGTAAAACCCATTTCGGTTCTAATTGGAACCTTTAATTTGAAGAGTCTAGATGCTTTTTCCTGGTTTATTTGAATTACAACTGGTTTAGTTCTAGTAGGATTTGAGGGAACTAAATTTGAGGGTTAAAGTGTAATTTGAGGTTTGTCTGGAGGCCCCAGACAGCAGGTCTCCAGAAAAAAGTAAAACTAAATTGCACCATGAGTTACACTGACTCCTGTCCTTCTTCAGGGCTCATTTAAGATCTATCCATTGCCTGACGATCCCTCGATGCCCGTACCCCCACGCCAGTTCCGCAAACTTCCCCCGAACGGTATAGAGGAGTGCCTGGTACGTGTCTACATCATCCAGGCCTATGGCTTACAGCCCAAAGATGCCAATGGCAAGGTAGGTACAACACAGCCAAAACAAGGCAAAAAAGGAAAGGAACATGCTAACAAGCAATTTGCTTTTCAGTGACCTTGTATACGTCTCTGGGTTGGGAGAGGTTGTTACAACAGCCCTTGTATTTTCACTAGACGCATTCACAAATCTTTAGTTTTTTTCATCAGCCAGACGAGTCCTTTGCGAAGCCTTTGCAGTGCCAGAGTCATAAGAAAGCTGAGAAATTGCTTTATGAAAACATGGAGCCACCCTTTTACCCACAACCATAAACTCGCAATCGCTGCCCGAGACCTGGCCAACACGCCACCACCGCTGGCCCTGCGTCAGATGGGCTTTCCCTTCATTAGTTGCGAATATGCTAAGATGACGTCCTTTCATCACCTACTCAGGCCAGGAGTTATGATATGGAACATTTCACACATGTACTCGCTGCCTATGAAACACACACTGATCACGGAGATTTGATGCTTTTTTCCACCGAAAGAGCAAAGAGCAGTTGTTTTAAGTTTCAAAAGGAGGGCGTGCTGTTTTGGATATTGTGGCTTATGGTATATATGTGCGAGTGTGTGGCTATGTTAACACATACTAACAAGCACTCCTTGTTCTTTCGTAGTGTGACCCCTATGTTAAGATCACACTTGGCAAGAAATCAGTCGATGACCACGACAATTACATACCCTGTACTTTGGACCCTGTCTTTGGAAAGTAAGTTTTTTTTTCTTTTTCTTTCTGTCCCTGAACATAGTCTCTCTCTCTCTCTCTCTCTAACACACACACACAGATATAGAAACACGTCATTGCAAGGATCAATTATACCAGCAGGGGTCGCCACACTCATAAAAATGACGATGCCCCTAATTCTAAGAGTCTTGGTGTTGAATATGTGCTAGAAGGAAGGTTTGATCTGGTGGCTAAATGATGACTGAATAGCAAGGGTGTGCTTTTGAAAACATTTAAGCGAAATAATTTCTGACCAAAGGAAGTATTCAGAGATTGAAATGCATATCTTTTGATTCTCATTTAGGATGTTTGAGCTGACTTGCTCTCTGCCTCTTGAGAAGGACCTAAAGATCACGCTGTATGATTATGACATGGTCACTAAAGATGAGAAAATTGGAGAGACTGTCATTGATTTGGAAAATCGCTTCTTGTCGCGTCATGGTGCTCGCTGCGGCCTGCCACAGTCCTACTGTTTGTAAGAAATGTCTCTCATTATATTTCCTTCCACCTACCAGGTATTATTAGGAGTCATTATGAAAACTGTAAATAACAGGAAATGAATGTTGTAAAACTCAATCCAATGTCATATTGTGATTCTCAAATGGAAAACAATCTCAAACCAGTAAAGACCAGCAAACCACCTTAAGCTGGCTTAAGCATTGTCATATTATAATACTGAAACACATCCTTGCTTAAAAAACAACTATGCCTAAGGGAAAGTGCTTGTCTTAGCTGGTTTAAGATGGATTTGCTGGTCCCTAACCCTAAGTTTTGACTAACTGTTGGCAATCCCAGTAACTGTGATAACACATTCTGCTCAGTTACACTCAGTTACCCTCTTTTTGTCTCTGTGCCGACTCCAGGTCTGGAGTTAACCAGTGGCGAGATCAGCTGAAACCATCCCAGTTACTTCATCGTCTGTGCGAGAAGCGAAACTACAAACTGCCGGTCTACAAGCAGGATAGAATCTACTTCAGAGGACAGGAGTACACAGTTGCAGACCTTGGTCAGTGTCCTAAACACACACCCTAACCACACTGTAAAAAGTAATGAGTTGAACTTACTTGGAAAACCTGTGGAAACTGATTGCCTCAAATTTCTCAAGCAAATTAGTTTATCATTTTTGAGTTAATAAAACTTACTGTAACTTTGTATAGGTAACTTGTGTATATGTATAGGTTACCAGAAAACTTGAGTGTTGGTAACTCAATTTGACAAGTTCAGCCAACTTAGAGATTTAAGTTAAGCTTAGTGCACAGAACTCAAACAAAACAGTTCTCTTAACAAGTCTGCTTTGTTCACATTACTAGACAAATGTGTGGAAACTGATTGCCTTAAATTTCTCAAGTAAGCTGTACTCAAAACTCTCGCTTTTCTTAAGTAGATTCAGTGATTACTTTTTACAGTGCAGACCTAGTTTCCTTCCACTGAATTGAATGCTCATGATATTTGATCATTAATTCTGCGATTGTCGTTACCAAGAGTGGCTTCTTAGAGAACCGTGTATTACGTGAGCGCATACGTATGAATAAACACAGGCATCACGACCTATCAAACCCACGGGCTGGATGGCGAAAAAAGAAAGTGGAAGTCTTTTCTTTGGAGCTGCTGAAAGCATTAGTCATGAGTAAGAGCTAATCAAAGCACCAGCCTGACTCAATCACATCTTCCGTCATTAAAAAAAAAGCAAGTCGAGCACGAGATCGGCTGCGGTTCTGTGAAAACACTGACAGAAAAAGAATAACGATATATGTCTCGGCTTGTGCCATACATCATATCTGTGTGTGTGGGATCACAGAGCTGTCGGGGAGGCCGCTTGGCTGTTCTTGCTCGCTGCTATGAACGGAAAGAATGAGTTGTCCCTCTGTGTGATATTGTAAAGACGAAGGACCTGTGTAAACATACAGCACCTCTGACATAATCATTCATTCACAGCAAATATATCACTCCTTGCCACAGCAACCTGATGTCCCCTCCTGTTTTAAAGTGTGCCCCTGGGAAGATAATGCTAACTAATGCTAGTTCACCATTAGGTGTGTATTATGTTGATCTTACTTGTGCGTAACCTCCATCAGATCCTCCCAGCACTTCTGGTTTGACCTCCAAGCCCTTCAAGTCCCACGGCGCCATTCAGCCAGTCAGATGTCACACATGGCCTACAGAAAGCCAAGCTCTCCAGCCATTTTCCCTTCCATGAAGCTTTGGGACGAGGTCGGCTTCAGATTTATGGTGAACTAGCATGCAAGCATGTTCAGCCAAGGTCAACAGTGTGGCAGGCTCCTCAGCCTCCTGCTCCCATGTCTCGACGCAGAGGAATACTACATCTCTTTGTTTAGCCCACGGAACCGCGGCAACCCGCGCGTCAAAGCAATTATCAGGTGACCTTTTCGGGCATCCAACTTCATGGCAGAAAGATCTTCCTCCACTTCAGTCTTTTTCCTCTTTTCTCCACACTCTAACCATGTTTCCCTCAGGGACGTGACACAGGGTTTCAAACCATAAACTGAACAGTGGGCGTTTATTTTTTTTCTTCCCTCGCTCTCTCTTTTTGCTTTTTGACAAGGGGAAACTCTCTTCTTAGATCAACAGCAATGAAATCAACGCATCATCTGAGGAACAGGGAAAGATAAACATTTCCGACTATTTAACTGGAATGCTTCATGAATGTTGACTTTTTTTCTGCTCTCGGTTATGGCTTAATAAAACTTGATGCCCAAATGTTCTTCATATCAAATCAGAGGTTACATAGTGGTTCCATTTCACGGTTTTAACGGAAAATAACATTATGATGAATCTTCTGTTAACGAATTTTAAGCTAAAAAAAAACAAAAGTTTGAAGTGCCTCAACATTTTGGCTTTATGTCAGTATGAATTTAAACTACAGTGACCTTATTGTTGACTATATTTGGCCCTCAGATGAAGGAAAACCTCTTAACGCTCACCTGGGACCAGTGATGGAGCGTCTAGCTCTGTTGGTGTTGAAGAGGCAGTGTCTGGTGCCTGAACATGTAGAGACGCGACCCCTCTACAGCCCTCTACAGCCAGATATAGAACAGGTTACATAGTCACATATTTCTATTCCCAAAATTCCATTTTTTAAAATTATTTTATAATATTTTATATTTATTATTTACATGTATTTTTTTTGTAGATTTTATACAAGATTTTAATTTTAAATGTTATACAGTTTATTTTATCTTATTGTAAATATGCAATGTATTTTATTTTATTCTATACTAAATTTAAAGAGTAAAATTAATTTCGTTTTTCATATTATATTTTATTTTAATTATGTAGTGCATTTTATTTTATACTATACTATTTTAAAAAATTTAATACAATTTTATTTTATCATTTCATTTTTTGCAGAGCAAAATCTATTATCTCATATAGCTTTCACTATGCTTTTCTCATGTTTTTCATGACATGCCCTGTCACTCTTTACTGAGTTACTTTATTACCAAAACCCAGGGGCGGTTGCAGATGTGGGTGGACATTTTCCCGAAATCTTTAGGCCCACCAGGACCTCCATTCAACATCACGCCACGCAAAGCTAAAAAGTAAGAGCATTTCCTTGGTTTAATATCTGTCAATTTTGTTTTCAAAACACATCTAGAAGCATAACGTGTCCATGTTTTCTGCTCCCATAGGTTCTTCCTGCGCTGTGTTATATGGAACACAAGAGATGTTATCTTGGATGATGTCAGTGTTACTGGGGAGAAGATGAGTGACATTTATGTGAAAGGGTACATCTGGGTGTCATAAATGGGTTGTTGGGATTGTGTGTATGAGCTCTGGTTAAATGAAGTTGCTCTTGTTTCCCATGTCATGGGCCTGTTGCTTGTCTGTTGCCACTGTGACCAATAGTAACAACGGCTTGCAAAAATTATCGATCAGTAGCAAAAAAACACAGTTGCAAGGCAACAATAGACCCAAGCTGTAGGTCAATTACAGCTAAGCAGCATTGTCTTCTAATGTGTTGGAAATGATGTGTCGGGTAATTGTGAATGTTATTTTTTCAATCCTAGCTGGATGCACGGCCACGAAGAGAACAAGCAGAAAACAGATGTGCACTATCGATCACTGGGTGGTGAGGGAAACTTTAACTGGCGTTTCTTCTTCCCCTTCCACTATTTACCTGCAGAACAGCTCTGCACCATTGATAAGAAGGTGAGACGTAATCTGCATTTGTAAATTAAGTGGAGACATTTGAGAAAGACATGAAGGAAAACTCAAATTGAAAAAACTCTGAACTGTTGATAAGAAGGCGAGACATAATATACATTTTTGAGTTTAGTGGAAATATGTCAATTGTCAATTGAAAAAGACATAAAAAGAGAATTCAAACCGGGTTTGTTTAGTGGTTAGCTAGTGATGCTAGGCCTGTCGACATTTATATCCACACTCTGCACTTCAGCTATGTTGCTGAAACGAAAATCTCCGATTGATTGAATCTGAATAGGTGATCCGAATAGATCATCCTGCATTATTTGCAGAGGTTTAGTCTAACGCCCACATTTTGAAAGGTATCACTGCAGTTGGCAGGTGTTTAATGCAATGTTTCAAACCCAGATATGTTGCAGGCTGCATCTGGCACACTTCTACTTACCGAACGTGGTACATGAACATCTTGTAACTGCAAGACAGTCCAGACTTCATCCAAGCAATCTCAGGGAAAACAGTTGTGATGGACAAGGCACTTAAAGTGAGGTTTTGGCAGGCAAGAGATCAGTTATGGTAAGATTGAAGATAGCGGTTCCACCCATTAAATTGAGAGCAGCCCGCAACAGCTGTCAAAAGATATATCCACTTTGGCTGAAGTTTGCTGGACGCAACACACAATAGAACCGATACATAGCGAAACAGATTCTCTTGCATGAAACACGGCCCTCTGTGATAAATTAGAAGCGAGTTTTTGTTTGCAGTGTTTGTTTTGATGGAGCTGTATGCGGTTGTCAGGCAGGATGTGCAGACCGCACGGCCTGTTTACCGGTGAACGGCAGCAGTGCGGCTCTGTCAAGCGTGAGTTCATTATCCTCGCCGTGATTGTCCGCACATCCATCACGGGTACAGTACGGTGGGAATGCTGTCATGCAGATGGAATCCTGTCTGGCGGTGGGGTGCAGAATCAGTGCTGTTGTGGGAGTCGCTAACACTCTTTTCTGACTGGGACGTTTCTGTCGCTCTTGGTGGCTCTCACTCTCCCTCTGACTCTCACCCTCTTTCTAATTCTGCTTCACACATTCACGCTATCATTTCCTCACTCTGTCTTTCTCAGTCGCTGTCTTGGTCTGTCAGTTTATTTCTGCCTCTCTGTTTCTCCTAGAGGTGGTGTAGCTCATTTGTAGGGCTGGGTACTAATAGGTTGTTGGGTTTAATTTCACAAGCAAGGCGCTTAGTAGTGATGCACACTATATCGATTTTTGACTGTTATTTGAGATTATTGAATTTATTTAATATATGTTGATATTGAACATTTAATTGTTAATGCTCATTTCCACTTTTTTATATTTAGATTACCTTTGCCATCATCTAAAGCTCACTTAATCTTTAATTCATTAATAATTAAAAACTGTTAAATTTAATATTTAACAAATATCAAAATGAATATCCATTTTTTCATACTGTACATGTTGTGTAAGTTCTCTTTTAGTGTTTAAAATTGTTGATTTAAATTTGTTTTATATTTAATGTTTTATATTTAATTTTAGTTTTTTTTTTTTTTTTTTTTTCTCGGAATTGCTCAGTATTGGATATTTATTTGTACAAGCTCATTTACCATATTTTTACATTTGGATTACCTTTTCCATCATCTAATGTGCACTTAAAATTAATATTTAAAGCACTAATAATTGAATAACACTGTTAAGTTACCTTATCTTTTTTCTTATTAAACATGATAATGTTTTGATGCTTTAATTCACTTGTAGCAAATATACATTTAAAATGGTTTATTTTGTTTTATTTAAAATTTATTTAGACATAATATTATAAAAATGTAAATAAAATATTTTGAAAATATACTTTCATATCTGCCATATGTATATACAGGTGCATCGCAATAAATTAGAATGTCATGGTTCATTTATTTCAGTAATTCAACTCAAATTGTGAAACTCGTGTATTAAATAAATTCAATGCACACAGACTGAAGTAGTTTAAGTCTTTGGTTCTTTTAATTGTGATGATTTTGGCTCACATTTAACAAAAACCCCTCTAACATGAAAATAATTATTGGCTCGTCACTATCAGCGAGAATGGTAATATTGTGCATCTCTAGTACTTAGCCCGGGTTGCTTAAAATAATATTTAATAATTAGGCTCACTCGACAGCATTTGCTGCATAATGTTGATTACAACAGAAAACGTACTTTTCACAGTTCATGTAAAACACTTACAATGAAATAAACAGTTACACTTGCATAGGCAAAATGACAAATTAATAAGTAGTTCTTCTGTTTGTACCTCTGTCAACTTCACCATGTTTCTTTCTCTGCAGGAGCATTTTTGGAGTCTGGATAAAGTTGAAACAAAACTCCCTCCTAAACTTACTATCCAGATCTGGGACAACGACAAGTTCTCCTTTGATGATTTCCTTGGTAAGACCAAAATCCAATAATCGTCCCTCGTGCCAGATCACTCCTCAGCTCTCTTCCATAGCTTCGCCACCCTCAGCAAATTCAGTCGTGTTAACCTTGCAAAGCACCACAAAGCTGTTTTTCAAACATATTTCTCAGCTTTGACATGACAGAAGAGAAATGTTCTGTGGAACTGGACCACACTGATAGGACCATGTGTGTGGTTTATTGTCATTAACCTATACCTCTGTCTATATGGATATGTGCGTACAGGGAGATGGTTACCAAAACCTGAACCTCCTTAACTTGTGTGAGATTACCCACCGCATGGTTGTGTAGCGTGACTGTCAGCATAAATACACTTAACAATAATAACGCAAATACATCATTCAGACCACATGAGCCCTCAATAACATCTTTACTGCTAATGCTATTATTATCAGCTGAACCCAATTGCCAACATGTCAGCACAACTGGAAGATAAATAAGTTATGACCTGACTTCTTAAAGACTTCTATAAAATACACAGATCTATGTACATTTGTAAAATAATTAGCATCCGACCACAATGGGGAAACCTCAAAGAAAACGACAGACTGCCAGCAAAGTCTGAAGGTCACAGACTTTTTTGACTGATATTATGAGAAATGATTGAGAAAAACAAGATTAGGGCACTTGCTGACTGTTGCTTCTATTATATTCTTATTTCTACATTTAAATATATATCTGCTGTTCTAAACATAGATATTCTCTTTTCTTGTATTTAATGTTTCAGTGCTGTAGTGTATCATTGTGTGTGACACATAAATTGTTTAGCTTTTTGCTCGGTTCTTCTCTCTCTCTCTCTTTCTAAGGCTCTTTGGAAATGGATCTGAACCATATGCTGAGTCCAGCAAAGTCTCCAGAGAAGTGTGGTCTTGAGATGCTCTCTCAGTCCCAGGACAAACTGGTGTCTTTGTTTGAGCAGAAGGCAGTAAAAGGCTGGTGGCCTTGCATATGTGACAGAGAAAACAAAAAGATACTTGCAGTAAGAGTTACACACAAACCCAGGGTTATTGTTGTGTTGAGAAATTCACCATTTTATTTATTTAGGTTTTGGTTTTTAGTTTCAGTTTAACTTTATTTCATTTGAATTTTTCTGTTGATTTTTTTCTGTCAGTATAATTCTAGTTTTCATCTTGCATCACAAAATTGTTCTATTTTTCTATGGTGACACATACTACACCTTTTATATGTTTCATAACTAAAATCAAATGGCTGGTATCATATCGATTAGACCCTCTCATATATATTTAGACAGTTATGACAATATAACACTCTATGTTTGGGAGGATAATTAAATCAGACTGTCCTGCACTGAATAAAAATATTTGAAAACTGAAGTAATTTTCGGTAAAAAAAAAAAAAAAAATTATATTATAATGCACATTTATAGTTTCAGGTTAGTTCTGTTCAATTTTATTGTATTTAAATATTCAGTTAAATATTACATAAGTTAAATAATTCAATATATTTTTTATAATACTTCTCATATTAAAAATTAAAATTAAATAATATTAATGTCATGGTCGTACTACACTGAGGAGACACAGGAGAATTCGCAGTAAACACAGTCTTTAATCCTTCCAACACGGGGTATACAGGGCAGACAGGAACACATGCACACGATGAACATTCAATACCGGACAAGGGAGAATGGCACAGGCTAGAACTTAAATGGGGCAGATAACGAGGGGCAGACAGGTGAGGAGGATAAACTAATAAGGAGACACACCTGGAAACAATGAACAATCAAACACACGGGACACCTAGGTAGCAGAGCACATGGGGAGCAAAAACACAACACAGACAGTCCAGAATCCTTACAATTAAACTATTATTAATCATATTTTTACATATTTTAATCATACATTATGCATTTTTCAACTACAAGCCTGTATGTCTCTTTTACATTACAGTTACACTATGCATTTGGCAGATGCATTTATCCAAAGTGACTTGCTTGGCATTGCAGGTTTACAATTGATCGGTTCATGTATTCCCTGAGAATCGAGCTCATGACCTTGGTTTTGCTAGTGCCATGCTTTACTTTTTGAGCTACAAGAAACTGAGCTGCTCTTTGTCACTCAGGGAAAGGTGGAAATGTCACTGGAAATCGTGTCTGAGCAGGAGCAGGATGAGAGGCCTGCAGGACTCGGCAGAGATGAGCCCAACATGAATCCCCATCTAGATGAGCCACAGTAAGTTAAGCACACTCATCACAGGCCTTCCTCTCACCAAATAACAAAAAAAATAGCATTTCGTATTAGCCTTTTTATTGGCCCTTAGCTCAAGGTGGATTTAATATATGGTTGCTAATATACTTTCTTCCTCTCTCTCCAGGCGTCCTGAGACCTCATTCTTATGGTTCTCATCCCCATATAAGACGTTTAAGTTCATTGTGGAGTCATGCACACTGAAGGCATTTCATATTGTTCTGTGTAGCATACATGTGTTGAAATAATGTTTTCAACTATTAGCCATACATACAATGTAAAACATACAGGATCAAGAAAACCAACCATATGTGCATATAGTACCATTTTTATTATATTATATTATATTATAACCGTTTAAAAGTTTGGGGACAGTACTTTTTTTTTTTTCTGTAAAGAAATGAATACTTAAATTCAGCAAGGATACATTAAAGGATACAAAAGTGACAGTAAAGATATTTATAATGTTACAAAAGACTTATATTTCTGCTCTTTTGAACTTTCTGTTTATCAAAGGGTCCTGACAAAAAATAAAAAGTATAAGTTTGCACAAAAATACTAAGCAGCACAACTGTTTTCAGTGTTTATAATAATAAGTAAAGTTTCTTGAGCACCAAAATCAGTATATTAGACTAATTTCTGAAGGATCATGTGACACTGAAGACCAGATCAATGACTGCTGTAAATTCAGCTTTGCCATCACAACATTTTTCAATTTTACAGTTGTAACTAAACAGTTGTAGATAGATTATAAAATGTGCTAGAATTTTGCGTTTTTAAACTGCTATTGCATTTTTTATAGAACTATGCTGCTATGAAGATGGTTGGACCCTTCAGTGGAGTGGGAAAAGGAACACAGTGAGACAGAAAAAGATAGAAAAAAGGACATAAACCCTCACATCCATTACCAACCACACCAAAACTCCATCCACACATCTCTGTCCATCCTACTGGAGACATCTGCGTCGCTTGTGCACATGTCCTTGTGTCTTACGAGCCAAGAGAAAACTGAAGACAGGCTGAGAGTATTTGAAGTCTTTATGTGTGCGTTAGCCTGTTCTAGCCCTATATGCATGAAAGTTGCATGACATCTGTGTGTTTGTACATGTATTACACACCAAGCTCCCTGCCCCGTATCTGCCCCGGTCCTGAACTCTCTCAGTATTCTCTTTAACTCCCACTTACACTTTCATCTCCCTGCCCGTTTAATCCTTTTTCATGTCTCCTGTAAAACTGGGTTCTTTCTTCACAGCCAGATGCTTCTTTCTTCTTCCTTCATGCAGAGAGAGGGAGACAGAGCTGCGTCCCACCACCTCCCATCCATTCGTTCCTCTCCTTTCAACAGCGCTGGCTGTTTAGGTTAAACCCTGATTTGTACCGTTAGGCTGTAAGATCCGAGACAGGCCGGTTATTAGCTGAGCCCCCGCTGTCAGCAAGCCCACCTCTCTGATTACTATCACACTCTGTTATTTTGCTTTAGCGAAATCCCCTCTAAATGGATTCAGGGTCATCTGTGGGTTGGCAACATGTGCGTGAATGTATGTGTGTGTGTGGAATGTGGGCTGTGAACGGGAATGAGAGATAAAAGACTTGTTTATTTGTGTAAATGTTACACTCACGCCCCGGGTGCCTTTGTGCCTTTTTGCATTTGACTCTGTAAAGCATGAAAATGAGCAGGCGCATCTGGAAGAATTTGCCAGACTTCTAAACATGCCTGTGAAAGAGCTGTTACATGATAAAATACACAAATTACTTGTTTTCTCTCCATGACCAGGTCATGAGCTCCTCTTCTACCTAGTGAGTATAAACTATGGTGGAGTCACATTTAGTGAAACTGGAATCTCAAAACTTGGAGCGTCTGTTGTGTCAACTCTGCATGCTCACATTACATTTATCTGATGGAGCTTCTCTATGAACAGAAAATGTCAAGAGATCTGGGTTAATCTGACATAATCTGCAGGATGTCCAAAAGTGTTTACATTTTATTTTAAAAAATGAGGGCAAAAGTAGTGAAGAAGGGATTTGATGTTTCCATCAAGTAACTGATTTGACAGTAAAAAGGATGCATTGCTATCTCTGTTACAGAAAGAAAAATGAGCGATTATGTTTTTTTTTTTCTTTGTAGCTATTTTCTGCACATCTGTGCATGGATCTACAATATCACTGATTTATGAAAGGAAAGTCAATGAGAAAACATTAACCAAAAAAGCTTTGCCTAAGCGTTCTCTTGCCAAATATTGTACAGTATATAGCTGAATAACTGGATTTATGCAAAACACAAATCCCCATGCTGAGCGTCTATGAATAGTTGTCATTCATTTACAACTTTTGCCATACGTTTCTTAATTTGACAGTCAAAATGGATATTTCTGTTATTGACCTTCTGAATGGCTTTTTGCAGTCTTTACTGTAAAGATGCACATCGTCTAATTGTCTTAAAGCTTCTGCTGTCATCTCTGATTAATTCACTGTTGAAATCGACTGTATTTGTATCTCACTGTAATATGCTTTGGTCAAATATATACCTATCTATACACCATTTTGTATATATTTATCTTTTCATTTTGAGTCAGATGTAATTGAAGTTTCTTCTAAAGAACTGTGTTGCTTTTATTTGATTTTTTTTCACTAGATCCACGGACCACCTTATGTGCACATTTAACCTTTAAAGCCAAACCACAACAGACCGCTCAGGGTGTATGACTTGAGAGCAAATTAGAAGCACTCCAGCGCCTAGCCAGGGGTTTATGGAGCAAAGGGCAACTTACTCTTGCATTTCTAATAGCTGTTCTGTAACGTGAGTCATTTAAAATATGATACAGTATATTTTTGAAACAATGTTCTGAGCTCACTTTTCTTTTGGTGTAGGATACTCTTACTGTTCATGGGGTCTTGTTAACTCTTAACAGTGTAGGGAGGAAAAGTTAAATATTAAAACGTTGTAAATTTGGCGAGACACCGTTTTGAAGTCTCTCACACACTTTTACTCATTGTAACAAGGTTACAATATATAGAAATGGCCATATCATAGTATCTAGTGCAAGTTATACCAGAGTGATAGATTTGGCACTCAGTGAAACCACATAATCACTGTACCTCTGTGTACTGCTCCAGCCCAACCTGAATGGGACCATGGACCCCAGTTCATGTTCATGTTTACATCCACTGTAAAAAAATATATATATATTGTTGCAATTATAACGACTTTAAATTTGTTGAGCTAACTTAAATATCCAACTTAAATAAAACAACCATGATTACTTAGTCTAATGTTGAATTTTAAGTTACTAAAAATGTTAAGATAACTAATCTCAGCAATCGTTTTTTACAGTGTATACACACTGCCATTCAAAAGCATTATTATTCAGTATTCGTTCAGTATTCAGTATTGCTAAAAGTAATCAGAAAATCAGGTCAGTGCACATTATTGGCATAGTGCATGATGAGCACAAAACATTCATTCAGAAAATGTATAAAGAATATTTTTGCATGTCTTATTTGTCTCTGTACACATTTAATGTAGAATCAAATCTGTGGAATTGAAGATTTAATTTGCCCCAACAACAACTTTATCAAGGCACCAGTTGATGTATACAATTACCCAAAATCAGGCTCATTGCTGCTTTAAAAATGCAAACAGGAGAACGAAAGATTTTGTTTCTAGGAGAAAAAGGGACTCGTACAGCAGTTTCCTTATGTACAAAATCAACTCAATCTTTCTCAGGTATTGATTTGTGTCCTAGCTTTCTGTAAAGGAAGTGACAACATAGTCATGCCAAACTTACACGACAATTAACTCTTGAACAGCAAAGAAGTGAAAAACGCTCTCTGTTCACTAACCTGTGTGTGAACTTGTGAAGTCTGCAAAACGTTGACTGTAACTTTGTTTCAGCAGTCTTCTTTTTTTCCCTAATTGCTGCTGCCTTTCTCCTGCTTTCTCAGTTTCTTCACTTCGCCCTGTGTAGATAACAGGCACGTGAATGTCAGGCTTGGTTTGGGTGTGTTATTTCAGCCTTGGTGAACTTCCTGTGCTCCCTGACCACTCTCCACATGCTGCGTGGGTGGGAGGCAGGAGCCAGACCCTTGTCACCACTTTTGGTCTCTCCTTTGTTTTGGGGAAATATCAGATGTCACCAGCTGAGGGGTTCCTATAAATTAGGCTCCTGATGCAAACAAGGAAATATGGGAATATTGTTTAAATTGACAATGATATCAATACTAAATACATCTTAGCCTAGTGTAAAATAGGCCTTTGAGTGAAAGTCCTTTTCAAATGTCCTTTGTTTTTGCATTTTAATGGGTTTTACTATGTTTGAGGCAAAGGCGTGACTTGTTCTCCACATAGAAAAGGATCATTGGGCTTAACAGAACTTATTTTTTAATGTTTCTTGAGTGAGAACATGGAAAAATCCAGACAGTCAACATCAAAAAGCCTTTCCTATAAAACCACATCTGCATTGACTGCTCCGACCTTGCCAAAATCGCCCCCAGCCGCCATCTCTCCAAATTTATGTAGACAGCATTAATAGATTAATAACACCAGAACTAAGGGAACATCATGGTTACTTTAAGAAATGGATGATTTTGGACGTGGGTTCTCGATAATTAGCCATCTTTGGATTTGCATTTGTTGCATGTTTATTCTCTGCCTTTATGGCAGCTATAATAGTCTCACTAAGTGGCCTCTTAAAGCGATTTTTGCAAGCATATACATATGTATTATCTCATTTTACACTTAATTATCAACTGAATAAACAAGGTGGAATTTTGAACTGCGAAATGGAAAAAGCTATATAATTTTACAAGCAGAGTAATCACTAGATTTTTGATGTGTTGAGTCACCTTTGTTTCTCTTGCCTTTGTTTTGACAATGCCTGAGATTTAGCAGGTTTTTGCTCTTTGAATAGTGAAATGATGCACTTCTGAATCATTCAAATCATTCAATTTGAATGAAATCATTTTTTGAAAAATCAAAAAAAAAAAATAAATAAATAATAATAATCTGTACATTCGTTTACATCCACTGTAAAAAAATATATATATATTGTTGCAATTATAACGACTTTAAATTTGTTGAGCTAACTTAAATATCCAACTTAAATAAAACAACCATGATTACTTAGTCTAATGTTGAATTTTAAGTTACTAAAAATGTTAAGATAACTAATCTCAGCAATCGTTTTTTACAGTGTATACACACTGCCATTCAAAAGCATTATTATTTTTATGCACATAAAATTTATCAAAAGTGATTGATTTAAAGACTTTTACATTTATGTTTTTACATTTCTATTTTAAATAAATTCTGTTCTTTTGGACTTTTATTCATCATAGCATACTGAAAAAAAATGTGTCACTGTTTCTACAAAAATAAGTAAAATATCCTTTGCCATCACAGGAATAAATTACATTTTAAAATGTATTAACAAACATGTCATTTTAAACTATATATATATATATGACTGCTCCGACCTTGCCAAAATCGCCCCCAGCCGCCATCTCTCCAAATTTATGTAGACAGCATTAATAGATTAATAACACCAGAACTAAGGGAACATCATGGTTACTTTAAGAAATGGATGATTTTGGACGTGGGTTCTCGATAATTAGCCATCTTTGGATTTGCATTTGTTGCATGTTTATTCTCTGCCTTTATGGCAGCTATAATAGTCTCACTAAGTGGCCTCTTAAAGCGATTTTTGCAAGCATATACATATGTATTATCTCATTTTACACTTAATTATCAACTGAATAAACAAGGTGGAATTTTGAACTGCGAAATGGAAAAAGCTATATAATTTTACAAGCAGAGTAATCACTAGATTTTTGATGTGTTGAGTCACCTTTGTTTCTCTTGCCTTT